GCTCACCTGATTAGCAGCCGTTCTCACCAACCCAGCCTCTCCCACTTAAACTGGAATAAGCCCCCAACCTAGGCTGGCTTCACTTCTACACCAGGCTTTGGGCTCTATCACACTGGACCCTCGGCAAAAGCAGAAGATGAGAGGAACCACAGGAAGCAAAACACAGGATCACAGACAGGGGTCCGAATATTAGCTCAGTCACTTTCTACTATGGGTCCTGAAAACATTATTTTCTGGCCTCAGTTTCCTCATCCACAAAAGGGACACTGTGACACCTAGTTCAAGGAGGTGACAGCTGAGTCACTAGGAGCTCTGCTGGAACGACATGCCAGAGTCCAGCATAAGCTGCTGCACAGCACCCTATCTAGCCTGAGAGGGTGTCGAGAGCACCCTACCCCAAATGAGTTCTGTCCTAGATTTGGGGACCCTCTGCACCAGTCCTGCCCCCCCCCAGTACCCAGGCATACAACCCCTCTGTGAGGTAGGGCGAAGGGCCATAGTCCTCCCTAGAGCCCCTCCCAGCTACCATTTTGGATCCCAGAAGCAGATTGGGGGCAGAGACTGAGAGGGCCTGATTGGCCATGGATGAGGACATCCTGACGCCCAAACTCACTGCAAGGGGCCCCATCACCTCCTTTGGCATATCCCTTGTCTACTCTTATGTTGCAGGCTCTGTCACAACTCACTGGAAGGCCTGGAGCATGTCCTTGCCCCTCTCCAGGTTTTGGTTGCCTCTTCTCTCAAGTGAAGAAATGGACAGAGACCAGGAAATAGAGCTTCCCAGCTCCTGCCCTGCAGGATCCACCCTGCTGTCCCTTTAGAACAAGACATCGGGGCTTGGAAAGATGGCGCAGTAGTTAAGAGCACTGGCTGCTCTTGCAGAGGACCTGGGTTCAATTCCCAGAACTCACATGGCAGTTAACAATTTTCTGTAACTCTAGTTTCTGGCCTCCACATTGCAAGACATGGGTGCACTCACATACATTCAGGCACTCAAAAACATAAAATAAAAAAGTATTAAAAAAAAAAAAAAGACATCAGCCCCATAAGGTCAAAACAGAGTGTGAGAGATACCGTATTATAAAACAAGTGATTTGCCTAAGGTCACACAGCTGGACAGAGTGGTCCAATCAAAAATACACTCCTGCTCTCGGTCCTTTCCAGAGAGTACCTCGGCATGTGCTCTGAACTTTTGTGCTCTATCTGATGGGATTAGAGATGGATGATGGACATCAAGGCTAAGTCAGGTGACCAAGGTGGGGGAGAGGCTGGAGCTCTGACAGCTCCAAATACGCAGCTTTGAGTCAAGATCATGGCATTAGAGATGGACAGAACTGGACACGAATCCCAGCTCCTCTGTTTATTAGCTGTGTGACCTCAAGCAAGTGAATCTGCCTCTCTGCATCTGCTCAGAGGGGTTGGTTAACAATGTGTACTCCACGGGCTGCTAGGCTGGATCCTGGTGTGTATGTAGCATGAGTTCTCAACATGAGCCTATGTTCTTGAGGTTCTTTGCACAGTTGGACTGGAAGTCCTTCCTCATCTTCTATGTTCCTAAGAAGACATCATTTTTGGCGGAGATTTTCCTACCAGCCCACTGTGCCTATCATTCACATATTTCTCCTAACTCAGGAAATGTACACAAAGTTCTTTCAAGAGTTGAAAGAAGCCAGGCCTCATCTGCCTCATCTTTCTGCCGGAGGCCCCTGGGATGGAGCAGGGGCAGGACCTCAGGGGCGGGAAGTACCGCAGCCTGGGAGCCAGCACAAGGATGCTATGCCCAGGGAGTCAGAGTTCATGGGAACCCAGGTTACCTTGGGGCAGCCTGAGGTTAAAGTCTGCCATCTTTCCCTTTAAAGTGGAAGGCCCTTACCTGTCTTACTCCAAACAGACACTCCAATTAGAGTCTGACTACCTCCAGGTCCCAACTCTTCCTGGCCCCACTGTCCTCCTTATTCATGACAAGCCTCCAACCATCACACCCTGTGTTCCCTCTGCCAGGAATTCCCTTCCTCATGGTGTGTACATGGGTCGTCTGTCCATCAAACCTGCTCAAATTCCCTCCAGAGGCCTCCTCCACCCATGCTGTCTGAAGCAGCAGCCATACTCCCTCTCCCTCACTTTTCCAGTGTTTCTTATGTCTCCCCACTTCCTGACCATATTTCATGCTTACTTGGTCATGTGTATATATATTATACATATGTGTACCCATGGGTATGCAGGTATACACACCCATGTGTGTGCATGTGGAGGCCAGAGGTCAATATCAGATGTCATCCTCTATCACTTTCCACCTTGCTTTTTTGAGACATCATCTCTTACTGAAACTGGAGCTCACCATTTCAGCTAGACTGGGCAGTGAGCCTCCAAATCAGTCTGTCTTCATGCCCCCCTCCCCAGTGCTGCCATGCCCAGCTTTTATGTGGGTGCTGGAGATCTGAACTCAGGTCCTCATGCTTGCACAGCAAGCTCTTTACCCACTAAGTCATATCCTCAGCCCCAGGGTCTGCTCAGCTCACTTCTGTCCCCAGTCCCTGGAACATCAGCATCTGGAAGAATAAACTGAATACATGTTTACAGGGTGAATGAATGGATAGACGGGTGAATAACTGAATTCTGGCCCCAGGCATCTGTCTCCTAGGATTATTTTTCTTTTTAAAATTTACTTTATTCATTTTTATTATAATATATGTATGAATGCTTTGCCTGCATGTATGTAAGTGTGCCCATGTGGTACAATGCCCACTGAGGCCAAAAGACAGAATCACATCCCCTGGGACTGGAGTTATGGGTGGTTGTTAACCACCAAGTGGGTGCTAGGAACCGGATCCAGGTCCTCTGATAGAGCAGGCAGTACTCCTAACCGCTGAGCCAGCTCTCTAGCCCCACCTATGGTTATTTTTCAGTTGAATTTACAGCAGCGGAAGGGGCAGGAACACAGGGCGCTCAGTGCATGATGCTCACTAGCATCAGGTGCTAAGTTTTTTATAAAGCTCCCCAGAAGTCCTTGTGTTAAGTTTGGTCCTCAAGGTGGCACTACTGGGAGAGTGGGACCGTGCACTAGGCCCTTCGTGGTGCGTTCTTGAAGGAGATTCAAGGACCCCAGGGCCCTTGTCTCTCCCTCTTTTGCTTCCTGGCCATGAGAAGAGTGGTTCTGGCCTGTCGCATCTGGGTTCCCTCACGCCTCATCATAGGCCAAAAATGGTGGGGCCAGTCGATCAGGGACTAAAACCTCCAAACCATGAACCAAAAGAAGGCTTTTCTCTTTGTAAGCTGGTCATCTCAGGGTTTTGTTACGACAGTAAAGGGTAGGGGTCTTGCCAAGGTTCTCACTGAGGCCTTGGGCAAATAAATGTTCGTCTGTCAAACATGGAAGGTGATAATGGACCTAAATGGCTTCACAAAGCTCCAAGGATACAGGCTATACCAGGTAGGAGGGTGTGCCACAGACAAGGGGCAGGAGCCAGGGTATTGGTAACACGAAGCAGGACAGTGCCCAGAACTGGGCTTGTCCAGAGTGCTGGGAAAGGTCACAGGACAAGCTCTCAGAAACTGCCCTGAGGCCCTCCCTGGCCAGGAGTCTAGTCCCCTCTGCATACCCTCCCCAACTTAGTACCTCATGGGGACCCCTCCAGCCAGTCTCTGCAGGAGTTTTCAAGGGGAGCAGGTGACAACCAGAATGCCTTAGCTCCCCTCCTGTTTCCCAGGAATACAGTTTTCCAAGGAAGAGGCCTGGACTGGAAGGTAGGAAGGGAAAGGGCAAGTCCACACACTCCTCAGCCCAAATCTTAGGATAAGAGCTCCCTGGAACCTTGTCTGCTTCCAGCCCTGGGGTCAGCCTGGAAGACTGGATCCTTGCAAGTCACTGGAGGCCATAACCCTAACCTGCAACACAGGAGAGGTCAGGGCCTAAACGCCAGGTCTGGACTGACCTCAAAATCCAGCCATGTTCCCTTATCCAGCCTGGATTTGACATACTGTGGGATTCATGGATGACTCAAGCACTTGGCCTACAGCAAGGAGGTATGATTGGTTTGAGTCTGTTTTGTTCTTTAATGAATTCCCAGCACCTAGCAAAATGTCTGGCACTTAGTAAGAGCAGTTAAGAAATATTGAATTGACAAACACATCCGTGAAGCAATGGATCTGAATTACTAAGGGTGAAGTTCCCTGTGGGCTGGGGGCAAGGACCCAGAGCCTAGCTAGGACAGGGGATGTCTATGAACAAACGACTGAGGGGACCATGGAATCAGGGATACCCAAGAAGGTGATCTCTCTGAATCACAGACATATGTCCACTTTCAAGCTGCTTGTTCAGTGCCCAACAGTGCCCAGGACACACAGTCATGGTCTGAATGAAGAGTGAATGAGAGAGCCAAACCCCAGCCCTCAGTGCAGAGACCAAGAGGAACAAATCGCAGAGTGCCCCCTGCAGGCGACATACCCCCCAACCACCATTCTCCTCAGAGGTTTTTAAATAATTTGTGGGTTGTTTTAATTGTTGAGGCAGTAATACTTGGTTCATGAAACTGCAATATACAGAGAGGTGAAATAAATAGCTTATATAATATATATATATATAATATAGCTGGTTTTAAAATATTCCCTTATCATTGGTGTACTAGGTCACGTGAGTCACGGAAGGTCCATAGCAGCATCCTCCAGAACTGCGAGCAAGGCAGGCCACCATGATTGGACGAGGCGTCTATCGTCAGAAGGTCGGAAAAAGTCGAGGCGCAGAGAATTCTCAGGGTGCGCCTTCCCTGCGCGGTGTCTCGGGAACAGCTTTGCAGCGGACAATAAATAAATGACTGCAAACCAGAGATCGATTCTTGTTGGAGTCTGGGGCAGGGAGAGGGGCTGGGGGTGGGGGCAGCTTGTTAGGGGAGGGGTACTACTTTATTGTTTTGTGGGATGTTTTTCCTTTTTCTTTCTTTTTCTTTTTCTTTCTTTTCTTTTTCCCTTTTTTCTCTTCTTTTTTTCTTTTTTAAATTTTTTTGCTTTCAGAACCTTTGGGAAAAAGGACTTTGGTTTCTCAAAGTGATGGTTTCCTCATTCAAGTCCTCCTCTATGAATGAGTTTTGAATTGTCACCCCTAGAGAGAGGCAAACACCTGTGGGTTGACAGTCCCCTTGTGTGAGTCCTTTGTCATGGGGGTTCAAGCCAACAGTGAAATCCTATTGCCCCCCCCCAAGAGTCTAGGTTCAGTTTTTGTCTTCTTTTAAACACAATGTACAAAAATAGAGCTTCTCCTTATTATTCATGTAAAAATAGTCCTCTGATGCAGTTCTCTGGGAGTAAGTGGCAGGGCCCCTGTGGCACGGGGCCTAGCCGGGGTGTGTGGGGCGGATCCTCCGGGAACGCTTGGTTACTGTGGTATACTTGAAGGGCTTCTGCAGCTCAGCCTGCCCCTTAGGGTAGCGCTTCATGAAATGCACATCCTGCTGGTTCTCCCGGGTCTTGGGGCCCTTCCGTGGCCGCCCCTTCTTGGTGAAGCCCACGTACCAGCCTGAGTATTTGGCTGACATCAGGGCTGTGTAGTTGTTTTCCAGAACCTTCTCGATGAACACACACTCCTTGCTAGTACCATCAGGCTGCAGGGGAGAGAGGGGGGCATCAAAGAAAGTCAAGTCAGTGATCCCTGTGAAGGGTGCCAATAGCAAACATTGCCCACAACATGGGTACAGGGCCCACTGCACCAGGGTCCCCCAGGTCTGGGGAGGCTGGGCTCAAGCTCCCAGATCCCATAGCATTAGCAAACAGAATCACCGGCCCAAGGAGGGAGCACCAGGAGCAGGGCCAGTAGACATGCCTGCAGGAACGTGGAAGGTGAGGAACCTAGTAGACATGGAAGGAGTATGGCTTCCTGCTTCCAAGTGGGTCTTACAAGCGTTGTTTGTACACATGGGTCTAGGAGAAGCTTCAGGAGCCTGACTAAAGTTTGGCCAGCAATGAACCTTAGTCAGGAGGAGATGATCCAAGGAATAGCAATTGGAGGAACACAGCTCTTGTGGAAAGGCATAGGAAAGTGGCCATGGCTGGGCCCTGCAAAACACCTACTAGAGTTGTTAGCCTCCTCAATACACAAATGAACCTTTGTTATAGGTCCCTACATCTTCCTCACCCTGCAATTAAAGAGCAGAGGCCCACTGTCAATCAGAAGTCCACTCCTTCCCCACTCTCCTTCCTTATAGATGGGGGTTCCACTTCATTCCTACTTGAGCAACAGATCTAGATCTAGCCAATCAAATATTATCCCCTCCCAGGCATGTGACCCAAGCTATCCAGGCAGTGTGCTACTTGAGACCTTGTAAGTAGGTTCAGCCTTCAGTGCCCACTCGGAAAAAAAAAAAAAAAGGCAGGTTCAAACTAGAGGAATTTACAACTGGTCACACACAGAGATTGCCTATGAAATGCTCAACCCTAAATGACAATGCAACACCTAAGACTCATGGAACATAATGGAACAAGGGTTAGAGGGAACACTACTGCATCTCTCAACTTTCATCAACTAAACTCCCTCAGGCAACAGAGGGCAACCAACCCAGGGCTCAATGACCATTTCGGAAGAGGGGGTGGAGAGATTGTAAGAGCCAGGGGAGGAGGTACATGACCATATGGAAACAGACTCTTACAGGCTCCTGGGACCTTGCTCATATGAATTTACAGCAATGGTGACAGCATGCACAAGACCCCTGCAAATTCAAGCAGACAAAAATCCAGCACAGAACTGTGGAAATGGGTAGCAGCCTCCAGTCTTAACCAAAGAACTATTGGGTGGTTGATTACTACTGGGTGAGGAAGAGCTGATCTTCTTTAAGGGAGAGACTCTAGATGGGCTGGCTAGACCCCAGGAGATGAACTTGCACTGAGGGACGCATCAGGGGACACTAAGTTGACTCAACAGACTTTAACATAAATGACAGAACATGTGAAATCCAGTGGGAGGGCTATGGGAGGGTGCCAGTGGGAAGGGGACATAAAGATAATTAAGATGTTCTGTATGAAATACACAGAAATTCAATAAAAATATATATTAAAAATAATAATAAACTAGAGGAATTTGTAAGGCCGAAATAAGAGCAGCTATTTTACTGCCAGGGAGGGAAATTCTGCCTGGCAGTGATGCCCCTGAGAAAGTAAAGCCAAAGAGAGTGAGAGAAACAACCAAGTCCCGGTCACATCATTTGGGCTCTGGACCCAGCTGCATCTGCAGTTCAAGTTACCTCACCACCATGCGGGCCAACAGTGTCTCATTTCCGTTAACCCAGCTGATGTTGCGTTCTATCGTTTGCAACTGAAATGAGTCCTGGCAGATCTGCACAAAATCTGACGGTAAGTCAGCAGCTATTCGACCCTACTGTGATACAGTTCAACACAAACTACACTCAGGGTGGGATGTGGCACAGCTTAATACTTAGTATGAAGGAGGCTAGAGGCCTCCAAAAATAAGGAGACGTAGCATGGTCGAACTCCAAAGGCTGTGTGAGGGGTCCTGGGCTCTCAGGTTTCCAGGAAGATGCGTGTCTTGGGATGCAAGACAAGAAGCGCTGGCCAAATGAACTCTAGCACTTCCTGTGTGACCTCAGGCTGGCCGGTTCCTCGCTCCAAACCTCAGATTCTTCACCAGGCAAAAGAGAACAATGACTTCTGCATCACAGAGATCCATGAGGAGTGAGGAACAACACTCATAACACTCTGACACACAGGAAGAACTCTCCAGGTTGCTCTTGAAGAGCTGGTGGTCCAACCAACAAAGGCTGCCCTGCCTCCTTAGGGCTGTCCTGAACAAAAGGCCCTGGGAGGCAGGGCTTACAGCCTCCTCCTAGAGCAGCCTGATTGCTTGAAGGGAGAGGGCGAAACAGTTGGAAGGCCTGAATTAGTAGCACTCAAGTTTCCAGCTAACATCTCCAAATTTAGGCCGGGCCCACTCCTCGTTCCGGACGGCCGCCTGGCCAAGTTGGAAGCCCAGCGGTCTGGCTGGTGTGTGGAGACTGAGGTGCGGGTTCCAACCTTTTGTTTGAAGTAGAAAACAGACTGGAGCTTCCAGGAACATTCACCTTTGAGAGGAGGACAAGTCTAGGCCCTGCAGACAGAGTGCTGAACTCTGCAGAAAGGGACAGGCCGGGTAAAGAAACTCTCTGGGGAATTCCAGCTTTCAAGGAGGCTGAACACACAGAGGGCAGGTTCAGGACACACCACTCAGAGGACGGTGTCAGTGGGGAGAATGGTAAGATAGTATTGTGAAAGAAGACAGGAAGGCTGTAGGGCAGGTTAAGAGGAGTGATCTTGGGGTTCTAGGTCTCTCATGGAAAATTCTAGAAGCTGTCCTTCCAACCTGAGTCCAAGTTCTTTGCATGGTTTTCACAAAAGTCAAAACAACTTGAACAAAGGCTAGATTACACCATCCTGCTTCTGTCGTTCAAGGCTCAGCTCTGTAACCACTTCCTCTGGGAAGGCTCCCCCACAGCCATTTCTCTCTCCAGGTAGTTCTCTACTTCCTTCTAGAATCCACTTGTACCTGGAGTTTTACTGGCTCACATACTCCATCTTCTGAAGTGACTGGGCACCCATCCCCACCCCAACCCCATGCTCCCAAGAGAGTAATTCTGTGTCTGCCTACTCTGCCTTAGCCTAAGAGATCCCTGAGGCCAGGCCTGTTTCTGGCTTGTCTTGGGACCGAGCACAGGCCTTAGCCCAAGATGGGGTTGTGGTTAAACAAACAAGAGTCTTACCAGGGTGGATGGGGGCGTGACACACAAAAAGAGCCTAAAAGAAAATACAATCTACCTTCTGAATCCTGTACAAACATCTCACAGATGTGCTCCAGGAGGACACACTGTTGAAGGAGACAGAGCAAGGGCTGGAGAGCTCTACTGGCCCACTTGGTCTCTCTACTCATTCATTCATTATTTATTGATTGCTGACCACAAGCCAGACAATCCCACATCCATTACATCATTTCACCCTCTTAAGTCATGGAGATTGACTCTACCTAGAGAAAGGAAACAGCTCAAAGAGGTGAAGGGGCTTGCCCAAGGTCATGATGCTCAAAAATGGCCACTACACACACACTTGTCTTCAGTCCAGTTCCAGAGAAGTCCATGGGGAGGTGGCAGAAGCTGAGTAAGTGCTGCCCACCAAAACCCATCACCTCCCCAGAGCCACAGAATCACTATGGGCACAAAGTGAAACACTAGGGTATGCAATAGGCTAGCAGAGACCCTGGTGTGCATGCTTAGTACATGTCTGTTTACTTAAGAGGGCTGGGAAGCTGGGCTTTGGGCTGGTTCGCAACACCCCAGTGCACAGGGGCCTTGTGGAAACCAGTTGTGGGGCCTATGATGATCATAAATCCCTCACGGACTCAGTCAGAAAAGCTAAGAGGCTAATAGCAGACCGCACCTGAGGTGGACACTTGCCTTTGCTTTTGACCCCCTCTATGACTCTAAGTCATCTATAATGATTTAAAAAACATCAATGTTTGGGCCCCACCCCAGAACTTCTGACTCAACTGGTTGAGGCAGGCAGGAACATCAGTATTTGGAGTAATTCATTGCCCCAGAGCCTTGGGGATTTAGTAGAATTCAGTCCTCTCCTCGCACCCACCTCACACCCCCTTGTTTCCAAACTAGAGTCCCAATCCTTCTGTTTGACCTGCATCCTGGTGACATCAGCTCATCTGCTAAAAGCATTTTGAGTTTTCGGTGACTTACAACCAGGGTTCTTAATCTCCTGCCCTAAAAGACTCATGCTTTGTTGCCCCCAAAAGGACAGATGTGGGCAGATGAGGAAAAATCTGGCTAGCACATGACACTAGATACTCAACAATTCTGAGCTAGAAGGATGTGCTGTCTCAGGCCAGGGCTACTCTAACATTCAGAGCTCCGGGACACAGGGTGGCCTATGACCGGCAGTGCAGCAGAGAGAGTGACTCTGGCCAAGGACTAGTGCATCTGGAATAGCTATGCTCAGGTCCCAATGCATGACCTGTGCTCTGGCTAGAGATGTGCAAGGTTGGCATATATAATCCATAGGAAAGGGCAAGAAAGCTGTCTTCCAAGGCATTCCAAAGGCGCAGAGGCCAGAGGTCCCGTGCATGCAGGAGTGATGTCAAGACCTGGCTTCAGGCTGAGGATGTAGCTCAGCATAAACCAGGTACGGTGGTGCATGCCTCTGAGCTCAGCTCTCAGGAGGTGGAGATAGGAAGATCAGGAATCCATGGTCATCCTTGACTGTGTACGGAGTTCCAAGCCAGCCTTGGCTAAAAAGAGGGACTAATGCTCAGCAGAGCCTACTTAAGTGCCGGATGAGTTTCTCCCAGGGCACCAGGCTCCCTGGACTACAGGCATCATTCTTACTAGAGGCTGAGTCAGTCTCCAAGAGCAAGCACCATATTCCCGCTTTTTTGGTGCTCATGCAAGGCTCAGGCCCTCTGTGAGCTCCCAGCCTGGAGGTGGTGAAGAAATGAAGGCATATAGCTTCACCCAGATGTCCCCAAGCAGGGTGACAGGGTGCTGAGGGACGATAATGAGCCAACTAGGGGCCAGGTGAGTCCAGAGGCCATTAAATGTGAGCCAGGAAGACCCATGGAGGGAGAGCAGGGTAGGACCTATCCCACACAAAGCTTTAAGTCCACCCCCAAGGAATGGGGTGCAGTTTGCCTGGGGCACAGGAACAGCACTAGATGGGAAGTTTCCAGGGCCTGGAAGGTGGAAAAGCCAGGTTGGGCTCTGAGCTGCACTGAAGGAGGCAGGGAAGATCCCTCAGGGCTGCGGCTTCCCAAGCTGCAGCGAGGGTGAGGAGACAGCAGTATCTGGAGAGGGCTGAGGCCAGTCCCAAGTGGTAAAGAGGGGCCACCCCTCCACCCATCAAAAGAGGAACTTCCCCGCAACCCCAGGACCCAGCCCGAGTGAGCAGTGGGTGCTAATAATGCACAGCCGCTCAAGAGCACACAGGTGGATGGAGAGCCACCAAACCCCTGGGCCCAGAGGAAAGGAGGAGGGAAGGGTCGTGGAGGCAGGAGGGCAAGCCAGGAGGGCTCCGAGGCGGAGGCAGGGGGCCGGGCCCGCCTTGCTGCGGCCCGCCCTGAGCCAGCTGAACCCGCACCAATGTTAATGACGGGGAGAGGGCGAGGGGGCAGGAAATCGGAGCCGGCTCCTGTGGAAGCGGTGACTCAGCGGCCAGCCGGCGGGCGGCGGGGGCGCGGCCGGAGGGGACAGGCGCTCCTGACCCCTCGATGGCCCTCCTGGGGTCAGGATGCCGGGAACCGCGCAGGCGGGAGGCGCGGGGCGGCGCGGGCGCCGGGCATGGATGGGAGCGGAGGGGAAACCGAGCCTCAAACTCAAAGCAGGTCGGTCTGGGAGGAGGCCCAGGCGGGCAGCTGAACAAAGCTCCTGGCACCGGGCTGGGCCGCCGCCGCAGGAAAACTGCTGGCCGGGACCGGACCGGTCGGCCCAGGCCAGGGGACCCGGCGCCCCAGCCGCTGCAGGACCCCCTCGCCCGCCGGCCGCGACGGCGGAAAGTGAATCACTAATTGAAACCAGTCCTCTCTCAGCATCGCGACGCTCTGCGGATTACTATTATTTTGCAGCTTCGGTTGGTATGGGTGTGTGTCTGGAATCTTTTCCTTCCAAACCCGGCTCTGAATCCTGCCTAGCCCTAGTATGGGACCTAGGACAAGTGCCCAGGGATGTAGCCAAGCCTCAGCTTTCCCATCTGTGAAATGGGGTTGGTAGAGCTGCCAACCTGCCAGGGCAAAAATAGCCCAAAGTCTGGAAGAAAGTAGGTGCTGGCCTGGTGTGGTGGTGCACACCTTTAATCCCCAGCATTCCGGAGGCAGATGATCTCCTTGAGTCCAAGACCAGCCTGGTGGTCTACATAGTCTAAATAGTGAGATAGTGAGTTCTAGGCCAGGCCCACTACAGGGAGACCCTGTCTCAAAAGAGAGAGAGAGAGAGAGAGAGAGAGAGAGAGATAGAGAGATAGAGAGAGTAGGTGCTCAACTAAAGGAAGCCATTGTTATCCATGTGACAATTCCTTGGCCCTCATCCCTGGCTTGTAGAATATGGGACCCAGGGGTGGGATAGGGATACTGAGGGCTCAAAAAGTCAAATATGCGTCAGCAAGACTGGCCATCTCCCCTTAACCCCAACAAGGTATAAAGAGCCAGATATCCCCAGGGCTTTGGACTCAAGAAGATGTCTATCACCCAGTCCACCTGTCCAGACAGATTGCACCCTCAGTGATACAAGTTCAATATGGGGGCAGGGAGAATCCCTGCAGAAAGGACAGAGGGTATCACTTCATTATAGAGCTACTGTGGGTGACACCTTCCTCCTGAACACAGGGGAAGCAGATGTGTGACCACAAACAAGCAGGTAAGAGAAAGCAGAGGAGCCCTGAAGGGCAGCCTCCCAGAGCATCCAACCCCTGCCCCCCAAGTGCTCATGCAGCTCTCTGCCCCCCCACCTCCAATGTGCCGCATGCAGCTCTCTGGCCTGTTCCGAAGTAATAAAATCTTCCTGAAATGCTAGAACCGTGAGGCCCAGCGCAGAGCAGCGGCTGCTTCCGGAGGCTGCTGCGCAGTGCCGAGAACCCCTGGCGATTGCTAAAATGATCCCTGCAGCCACAGCCCCTTGGGCTGCAGGTTCCCTGTTCCCCAGACATCAGGGGCACTTAAACAGGTTGCCCTAGAGCCTGGGAGGGTTTTCTCACTATGGAACAAACCAGAACTCCACATCCCTCCTCAGCAAAGCCCAGGGCTCTGTGGACACAGAGTAGCAGCCATACATCAAAACAGAATGAGGTGACAGGAAGGTATTGCAGTAGAAGCTGATGTCTCACGATGCAGGTAGGGCCCACAGGACCCTGGACACCATCTTCTAGTTCCCCAAGGCTGCCTGGGTGGGCCCTCAAGTTCCCGGGGTCCCAGGCCATCACTCACCTTCCCCACAAGCTTTCCTTTTCGGTTCATACACAGGTAGAACTCTGTCTCCTTGCCCTTGATCCGGACTTGGCTCCCAAAGGTGTCTGTCTCCACTAGGAGCTGGGCTTCGAAAGGAAGAAAGAGTAAGACAAGCTTTTTAACCAGAGGCAGTGGCACAGTCTGACAGCCCAACAGCATAGCCCTTGGTCCCTCACCCTGGTAAAGTCAGGCCTCTAGCCTATGACAACACCCGGCCCTGGGCAAGGAGAAGGCAGCTGACAGCAACCCTTCGTGAGCCTCTCAGTGCTTCTCCAGTCTGAGGTGAGTTACAGAAGTATCCTTCCCCCTCGTATGTCTCCCAGCCCCTCAACTGCACTCCCCAAAGCTGGCCCAACAGCCATACAGATAACCAGAGAAGTAACAAAGGGAATATTCAGGCACACACATACACACACACACACACACACACACACACACACACATGCACACACACACACACACACACATACACACATACAGCCTTTTGGATCGCATGCTGTTTCCTTCAAAAGTCAAATCACATGTCCTTTCCCCCAGGCAAATATCTGGAGTCCCTGCTAATGTAGTTTTGGCACCTTTGCCCTGGCCATTTGACATAGGAAGACATAGGAGGTGAGGTGTAACACCCCTGGGAAAAGTGGCCATAGGCAGAATCTTCCTTTTCCCCTGACTGTGGCCATCCAAACTGATGTGTAACTAACAACCAAGAGCACAGAAACCCAACAGGACCGACTGTCCCCACCCAGGAGCACAGAGGTACAACAGGACCCAATTCCCTATCACAGGATTGGAGCCCCATCCCAGGCACACACCTCAGTGCCTCCCTCAGGACGGAGGTGCCCAGAGCTGGTCCCCTAAAGCCCTGACACACAAATACATCAAGGACTCTCCTTCTCCCTCCGTCAGTCCACATTTTCCCCCAGTAGGGTATGGTGTGACTTTGGGTGAGCTCTCAGGCTTCCTCTGATCTTGAACCCCTAAGCCCTGTTCCTGTTAGTTCTTCCCCTCCCCCGCAGCTGCTTTCTTTGGCTGTATGACCCTTTGCTTCCAGCACCTGCCCCTCAGCCACAAAAGTTTCATTTCAGTGACAAGCGACTTGCTTCTCCATAAGAAAATCATAGCCCCAAATTCCCGAGTGCAGTATCCTTGGAGCCACAAGGAGTGTACCTTGGTGCCCCTAAAATACACTAGGTATGATTTTAATAAAAAACATTTACAAATATAGGCCCTGGTGCCCTGCTGTGAAAATTGAAACCATCTGGAACTAAGATTTCTATAATTAATCTAGCCCTCCTTTGACACCACTGCTAATTAAAATATGATATCCACCTTTCCAAGGGGAAAAAAAAGAATTTACATAAAATTTAAAGATCTAACAAGAATTTTGTAATTCTGGAAGCAAGGGAGACACATTCTTCTCGCTGCCTTCCCCCATCCCCAGTAAACATTGAGTCAGAAAAACAGAGAACACTGTCTGGCCCTTGATGTTCCTGTTCCCTGGCATTCAAACCCTTACCATGCCTTAGTTCACTCATTCTCAACATCACAGTGCTCCCTGACCTGCCCAATCATCTCCTCCCAAAGCTTGAGTCTCCCACAGTGGTAGCTATGGAGACACAGAAAGTGCAAGGGCGGGGGGGAGTGCACAAATAAAGTCCTGACTGCCTGGCCTCACTTGTCTTCTGTATGGCCTTGTGCCACAGGGTCTTCACCTGTGACATCGGGAGAAACTCCCTGACCCTTCAACAGTGCCTGTGAGGCCTGTGCAACACGGGGCACCCTGTTCTACCAGTCCCCAGGGGAAACTCACTAACTCTGATTTTGTTTCCTAAGAGTTACAAAGGTAAACCTTTCCTGGGGGAAAAGGAAGCCCATCAACAAGCCCCACATGCTTGTATAAGCATGGCAGTGAGGCCTCTTCCAGAGGCCCTACCCCCTGTTCTGAACCTGTCCTGGTTCTTCGTGAAACTCTGGGGTACAGTGTGAGAGAGGGGTGGGAGGGAAGGCCATGAAAAATGGGAGAAGCCTTGGGGTGCAGCCCAGAATCCCCCAAGTAAGTCCAAGGGGAGAATGTTCTGTCTCCTAGCACATGACCTATACATGCAAGACCTGCTTCTGCATGAGGCGAGATGCCCCCCCCATCCACATGAACTAGGGGGTCCTTGCCCTCATTTTCCAGGGTGAGCAACTGAGGTGCCTACCAACAACAGCCCAGAAGGAGAAATGACTAAGCTGACCAGTTCTGAGAGCCACACCTCCAAACCTAGCACCACCACTCAGCAGCTAGGACCCCAGCCTTCCCTAGGAACTATCCAAAGGACCTGGGGCAGGGCTGGGGCTGCAGGTCGACTCTACCCTCCACAGGCCTGGTCACCCCCACCCAGCCTGGGGAAGGTCTGTGCCTGGCCGCCAGGAGTCTGTTATTCACACCCACCCTAACCACAGCAGGCAGTGGTGTGACCTAGACTCCACTCGGTGCATGACATAATGAGGAGAGAGCCAGGCCAGAATTATGTAAAGTCTTTGGGGAGTAATAACAGAGGGGGGGGGAGAGAGGGAGAGAGAGAGAGAGAGAGAGAGAGAGAGAGAGAGAGAGAGAGGGGGGAGAGAGAGAGAGAGAGAGAGAGAGAGAGAGAGGAGAGAGAGAGACTGAGAGACTGAGAGAGACTGAGACTACACCCAACTTAGGTTTGCTCCAGAGCCTCTGCATCATGCACCCCCTCCAGAGACCCAAACCCCCAAGATGCAGCTCTAAGGAGCCAGAAGCCAGGGCCTGCAGCTGGCCTAGCGGATGACATTCTCTCGCTGTCCTCTCCAGCTGCAGCTCAGCAGCCACCTCCCTCTGCCACTAGTGCCTCTACTAGTCTCCCCTCCACACATCAACCAGAAGAGTCCTTTAAAAATATCAATTTAGGCCGGGTGTGGTGGCGCACGCCTTTAATCCTAGCACTCAGGAGGCAGAGGCAGGCGGATCTCTGTTAGTTCAAGGCCAGCCTGGTCTACATAATGAGTTCCAGGACAGCTGGGGCTACAGGGAGACCCTGTCTCAAAAAGACCAAAAAAAAAAAAGACAAAAAAAAAACAAATCCATTTAGGCCAGGTGTGTGTTGGCGAGTTCCACACAAGCAGGAGCTACAGGGAGACCCCACCTCAGAAAACAAAAATCAATTTACTGGCTGAGGAAATGACTCTGTTGGTAGTACCTGCCACACAGCATGGGGATCTGAGTTTGGATCCCAAACACCCACATAAAATCTGGACTTCTCTTCCTTGATGGAAACTCTCCTAGGGAGCCCCAAGCTACTTAGAAGAAAATCCAAACTTTACTGGGACTCACACCACCTGGCTCCTTGTTCCTTCCCAGTCTCCCTCCCAGCGCCCCCCCCACACCAGACACACTGGCTTCCTTGGAGTTACTCCTCACTCCTCTGATACACCAAGGTCCTGCCACAGGACCTTTGTACTTGCTGCTTCCACTGCCTGGAGTTCACCCAGACCTTCCCACAGTGAAGTTTCATCTCCCAGGTGGCCAAATATCATCTCCTTAGAGAAAGTGATTAGGCTGTGCCCTCTAACATCAGCACCACCATCACCAGCCCAGCACAGTGCAATCCCCTGTGCCAAATTCCTCAGCACTCTAAAATTGGCTATTTATACTATTGTTTCGGTCCTTTTTTTTTTAAAGATGGGGTCTCACTATGTAGTCCTGGCTGGCTTGGAACTTGCTGGGTAGACCAGGCTGGCCTCAGCTCACAGAGATGTACCTGCCTCTGCCTCCTGAGTGCTGGGATTAAAAGCATGTTACCACCATGTCTGTATGTGGAAGGCTTTGTTGCCAGCTTGTAACACTATTGGAAGATGGTGGAACCTTTCAGATGTGTGGGGAAATTAGGCCACTTGGAATGTACCCTGGAAGGGAATGTTGGAACCCATACCCCTTTCTGTCTCTTGCTTTGCTTCCCAGTCATCAGAGGTTAAGTCTTCTCTGCTACCACACTCCTACCATGATATACTGCCTTACCACAGGCTCAGAAGCAAGGGGTTAGCCGATGGACTGAAACCTCTAAAACTGTGAGCCAAACTAAACCTTCCTTCTTTTAAACTGTCTCAGGTATTTTGGTATGATAATGGCAAGCTAACACAATTTGTTACCCTTTTCCTTAGGTGTCCTTACTTAGGGGAAGGTAAGCCATGAGGACAAGGATGGATCTCCTTATTTCCCACTGCTTATTTCTAGCACCTAGCTCAGGCCTGACTCAGCATATGGCCGATAATAAAATTTTAATAAGTATTTTAATAAATTTTAATAAGCCTTATGATGTAGGCATGACTGACATGATTCAAGAGCTAAAGGAAGATTCAAGAAAGTGAAGGGACATACACAGGACGCATAGCTGATGACAGTAAGGTAAGGGTTGATCAATCTCTGATTCAGTGTCCTTCATCACTCTGCTCTGTCTGCTGTGACTCTTTACACTGCCCATGCCCTGTGCTAGAACACTGGACTCCTGCCCACCCCTCCCCAGCCTCAGTGACAAAAAGAACATCCTTTGCTGTGTGACAGAGGGAATCTTTGGGCCAGTACTAAGTGACTGCTGAGCCTCTTCTCTTTCAGCTCCTCCAGGGAAGGCTCAGTAACTCACACTTCTCTGGAGTTTAGGATGTGCTGGGCATCTCATTTAATCCTTACAGCAGTCCTCTAAAGTCAGCAACCACTGTCATTGCCCGGTCTCACTGGTATGGAAACTGAGTCCCGAGAACACAGGACAAAGCTGAAAGTGGAGTCTAGGAAGGTTGGCCCCAAAGTCTTAGTCTTCACCTCTCCACTCTACCCTTCCCTTTCCCTGTTCAGTCCTCCTGGTGAGTGAGTGCTGACGGGCTGTGGGGCTCATCTCTCTGGCCTGGCTTTCCTAGGACAGAACTCAGTGGGTGGGGATGCTACAGAGCAAAAGGCTGAGAGGTTCATCCCTCCCCTGGCTCCACTTCCAAATGACCTTGAAGGAGGAACAGTCCCTAGGTTGACATGGGGAGGAAGGGAAGCCCTTAGGAGCTACCAGGCCTGGACTCAGGCCTCAATCAGAGCCTTTCCTTGAGAAGGAAACAGGCTCTCCAAACCCTGAGAAGGCAGCAAAGGGCTGGAAGAAAGCTCTCTCTGTAAAACTCTCCTGTTATCTTTTTCCCTGTTTCTCATGAATGCCTGAAGAATAAAAATGGTCATTGCAGCCGGGCGTGGTGGCTCATGCCTGTAGTCCCAGCACTTGGAAGGCAGAGGCAGGCGGATCTCTGTGAGTTCAAGGGCAGCCTGGTCTACATAGTGAGTTCCAGGACAGCTGGGGCTACAGGGAGACCCTGTCTCAAATAGACAAAAAAAAAAAGGTCATTGCAGCCAGACTGAGAGGCTGAGGCAGGAAGATCACAAGTTCAAGGCCAGCCTGGACTCTTAAAAGAAGAGATTGAAATAACAGTCAATACCTATATGTGTCACGTGTGTGGGTCAAGCATTTGAACAGGTGGGCAACTCCAGAGCTCACTGAGATGGGCAGGGATTGAGCCCAAGGCGCACAGGCAGAGTAAGGGCAGACAGTGTGGGCTGCAATGACAAGGGACAAGTGGCTCTGATGGATGGATTGACGTTGCAGTGTGGAACCCCAGCTGGCTTTCCCAGAGGCAATCCAGGGCCTCTGCTTGGAAACTTTGGGTTTGAAAGGGAGGGAACAGCAGCAAAAGACAGAGACAGTGGACACAGAGTCAGAGAGCCTGCTTCGTAGAGAGGTAGTGCAGGGAACAAAGCCAAGGATGGGCTGGCTCTGCTTGTACCCAGGGAAATCGCCCCAAGACCTGCTCCAAGCCCCCCAGGGAGAGGTGCATGAGAAGGCCACTGACACATTCCCATGCCACAGACCCTGAGGCTCCTCGCCAGACAGCACCTCCCTCAGGAGATGTCCTTGCTACCAAAGGTACTGAGAGGTCACCATGTCAGTCCTACCTCCCCTCAGAAGGTGGGCTAGGTAGAAAGAAGCAGAGAGAGAGGCAGGGGTAGGAAGTGGCCGTGGCTGTTACACATCCAAGTACATGTACACACATACTAAGGTACCCATCGTTCCCCTTCTCAGGAAGTCCCTGAGGAGGCTTGCAGGCCACATGGACTCATCAGAAAGGAAGAGAGGAAGAAAAAAAATCAATAGGATTGATCAGAAGCTATATCTAATCCTGGCTGCAGCCCGCTTCAGCCTTTTCAGGTGGGATCCAGGAGAAATGGGTGGCCACAGCTCCCTGGGCACAAAGGCTGTGAGACAGGTGCTCCCCAGGGTGGGAGGCTTAGGCTGAGAGGCAAAGGCCCCATCCCTGATGGGAGAGCTCCTAGGGGACGCTGGGTGTCAGTATTCTCCCAGGAAGGACAGAAGGTTCACCGTGCACCTACTGTGTGCAGAGCACTGGGCCAGGTGCCTCCTCTGATACCCTGGGGTTGCTTTGCCTACACTCTCGGGTGTACACTGAAGGTGTCCCCTGACTCAGTTTTCTCATGCTATGGCTAGCTCTGTGCCCAGGGATGCAGTAGGGCACATAACCCCAGAAGCCCTGCATCTTCTGAGAGACAGAATGAGGAACAAACTATAGAAGAGGATGTCAGACCCGCAGAAGGACAGAGATGGGGATCCAGAAAAGGGAACCAGATGATGTAAGATCATCTGGGAGGAGATTAGGCTAGGCTGAGGGACCAGCAAGACAAAAGCCTTAGCAGAATATGCCAGGAGATGGGAAGAGCCTGAGATTAGGGTGGGAGGTCTCTGGAGTGGCCAGCCCAGGCCCTTGATTGACTCAAGGACTTGAGTTCTAAGTAGCATGAAACTTTGAGCAAAAGAGTGACATTTCTGGACTGGTGAACAGAGAACGGGCTATGGGATCAGACTGAGACTAGGGGATTACAAGAACAGAGAGCTGTAGCCTCAGCCACTCCAGTCAGCAGAAAGGACCTTGCTCGTGGCTCAGTGTCCCAGCAAGTACCAGGAGAAGGGAAACAAGGCCCTGGAGGCTCTTGAAACCATCTTGGAGGCCAAGCCACCAATAACAGACCCAGAACTGACGATTCCAGGTGTTCATTTTGTCAGGACTTGGCTTCTGAGCCAGCAGATGACACCACACTGTGAAGTTAAGTGGGTATAAGTGTCAGGTAGCACCCTCCTTCCCTCCTTCCCCTGCCCTGTGTCCCCCTGCTCTGGTCCCCCTGCCCTGAATCCCCCTGCCCTGGTCCCCTGCCCTCATCCTCCTGCCCCACATGACTACATAAATCACCCTCCCAATAATATTTGTATTGATCATCTAGATTGGAAGCCTCAGTTGGCTCCATTGTCTCACTTCCTCTCCAGGGCTCACAGATGGGGTCTCCCAGCCTCATCTGCGTTTCTAATGGGACATTTAAATGGAACAGCAGCAGCCGCAAGGCCCCATGCTGCCCTGAGTGTTGGGGGGGTTGGAAGAGAACATAAACATGTTCCTTGAGAGAGAGGATTAAGGCCTAGTATTTGTGGAAGTAGAAGAGTCACAAGATGGTCTAGTTCTAGAAACTCAAAGCAGGGCCCATCAGCGCCACCTGTAAACATGCCAGAACTGCGGCTCTTCAGACCCCAGTCTGCCCCATGAAACAACACGGACATCATGACCATCTCCTCCCTCAGAGAGTCACATTCATACTAAACATTTAATCTAAGCCTGGAATTGTATGAAAGAGAAACAGGCACAGAGAAGGCACAGTGCTTGTGGGAGGTCACACAGCAGCCTAGTTGGAGTCAGACCTCTGCAATGAGGGCCACCTTCAGCTCCTCTCTCTCCCCAGTCCCTGCCTCCTGTCTCACTCAGGGTGTGGACAGATGGCTCAGTCAGAGTCTCACATACACCCCCACTCTCCCAGCCTGGAGGGGCCAACAAGAGCTCCAGGGACACCCCAGGAGGGCATGTCCTCCAGCCTGGCTAGCCAGCTGCCCCTTCCCTGGCAGCACTGGACAGAGGATCCCAGGGAAAACCACCACCTGGGTCTGCCCTGCGAAGCCCGTGTCTGGGGGGTGCCCTCCCCCTGGCGCCTGAGGCCCAAAGAGGCAACCACAGAGGGCCTGGAGCCCAGAGCACATAGAAGGACAGAGACGGTGGGGGGAGGAACAGAGAAATGGGCCAAAACAAAGAAGCAAAAGGGTGAACCAAGAAAGGAAGGAGGCAGAAGAAGAGGAAGGGAGCCATGAAGAGTAGCCGTGCTGGAAGAAGGGAGGGAGGCAGCCGGCCCCGAGGTGCTGAGGCCCAGGACTCAGCCTGTGCCCCGGCCCAGCCCAGCCCAGCCCCCAGTGTGCTGCAGCTGCCACACTCAGAGCCCTACCATGAGGTCAGTCCTGCCCTGAGGCTGTGAGAAAATAAATGATGTCCGAGGTAGAAGGTCCAAGAAATTATTTGTCTTGTTGTCACGTCCTGGCGGCGATGGGCAGGGGCCAGCAGGGCATCAGCCCAGAAACACTAGGCTGGCAGGCTCAGCACATGTGCAGGACATGCCCTGAGCCACTGTCTTCTGTAGGGTTGGGTTCTTCCAGAATATGGGCCCAAGGAGGCAGGAGAATGGGGGCAGGTGCTTCCCACAGAGGGGTGAGGACCAGGAGGACTCCTGGCAGCTTTTAAGAAAAATATCTGTGCACTAAGTATTTGCCTGGCATCTGTCCTGGCTGAATCAAAGCTCTGAGGAGGAGTCATATCTGTTTTGCTCACTGCCCAGGGCCTTTGTGGGCTGGGGGCTTGGGAAGAGACGTTAACCCAGTGTCCCTCCTTCTGGCCTCTGCAGTGATGGAAGGTCCTTAAGCCCCCCAGGAGGGATGAGAAGTTCCAGGATCAAGGGAAGGTCACAAGGCCTGGGCCCAAGCTGTCATGAGTACACTTCTTGTAGGTGAACAGGATTGAGCACATTTCCATACACATACGTTCCTACATTCATGACAGTGATTCCCACAGCATCCCCAGCAGCATCCAGAAAGCACGCTCCAGAGGCTTCCACCCCACCAAGTACCTGAACCTGGGTCGGTCCTGGGAAGCAGTGACATGAAGAACAGTCACCTGTGTTGGAGCATTCCTACCCAAACTACCCATCACTATGACAACGCCATGTAATGAGGCACCTTTTATTCATGTCTTAGTATTCCCACTGAGCCTTTTAAGGAGTCACTAATATAACCTCATTTTACAGACTAGGAAACTGAGGCCCGGGAGGGCTCAGGGTCCAAGACCAAGCATCTGGCACAGTACAGAGCTAGGATTTGAGTGGGGACTCTACAAGGCCAAGACAACTGTGTGCATGGAGTAGGGGTAGGGCTGGCTCATACATACCATACTTGTCCCCATCCTCGCCCCGGGCACTGATCCTACGACCCAAGACTTGAATGTGCTTCCCGCTGGTCCTGCTGTAGAGCTGGTACAAGCGCAGCTGCTTACGACTCACATCATCGCGAGCCCGTGTCTGGTTCTCCACATGGATGCGGAAGTCCACGTTCTCCTCGGCTGCCAACACCTGAGCCAGAGAAGGGGAAATGGTGATCCAGCTATGTCTCTGCCCTATGCTGGCTCTGGCCAGGCCCCGTGTCAGAAATGAAGCAATCGAGACAGCTGCAAAGTTGCAAAGTTGAGAATCAGGCCTGGGTGCACTTAACTACAAAGCTTCAGACTTTCCCACCCTGGCCTCAAACACACGGTGCCTTGGGCATTTGGTTCTGGTTCCTTCTTGGTCAAAGGGCAAAGCAGACAGCCCTACCCTAATGGTACTGGGACTAAAAGGAAAACTTGAGGAACTGGGACGAGAACGGCTGTGGGGAGGAGATGGAGAGGCACATGGCAGGGAAGGGGCAGGACTAGCAATCTCAGTGTACTGACCAACAGGCCAGAGTTCAGCATGCTGGCTCCTCTGGAGCCCTGCAGGGCCTTCCTCCCACTCCCCGACAGCCCTCACACGCATGCCAAGGAACTAACTAGCCCATGTCCCAGGCCCTCTTGTAGAACCCTCCAGTTTGCATCTCCCATGGTAACTCCCTGAGCCTCTTGCAGTTTAGTTCCCCCCATTCACACACTCTAGGAGGCCTTCTTTGGTTGCACCCACACGCAGTTCCCATTCCCCTTCCAGAACATGGCCCCTCGTTTAGACAGTGTGCACCCACCTCTTTGCTAGCCTCCTGCTCAGCCCAGTCCATTTTGGCCCCTAATAAGCCATCCTCACCACACCCTCCCAGAGTCCTCCCTGCCCACACTCAGCCTGGCCTCCTAGGAACACCCCAGTCCGGCTCTTCTCCACACTTCTACTCTGCTTCCTGTTTCTTTCTATCACATGCCAACTTAACAAACCATCTACCTCCTTGGCTTCTGCTCCCTTTCTCCTGTGTACCTGGCACCTAGCACAGACACCCAAACACTTGTTCAGTGGATGAATGGATGAATGAATGAATGAATGAATGAATGGGTGAATCTGGACAAGACCTGGAGTCTTGTCAGGCCATGAAGCATTAAGTTATGTTCACTCATGCCTGCAAACTAGATGCATGGCCCATGCCACCCAACCATAAAACTGAACAAGTTCTGAAGTCCAGATCGCATTCTGGGTCCATTTGGGCACAATGCTAGTAGACACACAGGACCGCGTACCCGGAAGATCTCACACCCCACTTTTGGTGCATTTCTTAGGCTGCCCAGGCATCTATCTCTGCCTCAGCTGTGGGCCCTTCTGTGCCTCAGTGTCCACATAATGAGCAAGATGAAGGCCATACCTACCTATGGTTATGAAGACTGACTAGAAAAGTCAACATAGCAAACATTCCACAACTGAGTGAACATGGGACCCTTGGACAAGGCTCCAAATGAAGCCCAGAAAAGCAGATTCCAGTCTGGGAAGGCGTTGTTGCAGTGCTGAGGAACGTGGATCGTCCATTCAACAAATGCAGAAACCAAAGTTCACAAACATCCATTCTTCAAGCCACTGTGTGCATGCCTCTCTCCATCCTCACGAGCCATACTGGCCAGCCCAGCACCAGGAACTGCCTCTCTTCCTACCCTGACACTCAGGGAAGAGCCCAGGGACCCAGAGGCCCACACCTGGAGGGCATTTTTCCAGAAGACCCCACACTCAGGGCCATTGACCTTTCTGGAATGATTCCTGGAGTCAGCTTAGTCCTGTCCCCTCCCCCGAAAGTAGGCAGGGCATCTCCCTGTCCTCTCACAGGAGACCTTATTGACTAGAGGTCAAGCCAATCTCTTCACCCCAGTCCCTAAGGGGGAGCTGCCCTGCCCCAGAAGCCAGCCTCCCATTAATGATTTTCTTCCTGGCCCACTGGACAGAGGCAGTGGGGGTGACCCAGGGTCAGCAGGAGCTATCGGGTGGCCCTGCCCCAGGATGTGGGGAGACAATCCATCTTGCCTAGCTTCCACCACTTAAGCCACACTCTGACCAGATCAATCCCCAGGGAGGTAGCGGGTGTTCTCTGCTAGAAACTGGGCCCACCACTAGAAAGGCAGCAGTACCCTGGCCTTCCTAGGGAGGCCTCTGTTAGACTCAGGGCACTGACCCCTTCTGTCCGGCCTGGCTGTCACCTACCTTTAGAAGCCTACCCTAAAAGCCCCTCCTGACAGCCACCTCAGAGGGGAGATTCTGAACATGCTACTGTCCCCAGATACGGCCAGCCTGGTTCACCCCTGGGTATCAGATTAGGCTTAGGAGGCAATGAGTTTGTCAAATGGCTGTGGTCAGGAATGAAGGGCACCTAGAGGCAGCAGTGGCCCTACCTTTCCAACCCAGATAAGCAGGGTATGTGGCAGAGGGAGGCGAGCCATGTTAAGCTATGGGGATGCACATTCCCCTGCTCCAGGCAGCCTGCTAGGAAGCCCGTAGACATGGCTCTGCCTAGCTCCATCAACCTAGCTCCTAGAGCACCAGGGAACCAGGGAGAGCCCATTTCTCAGGTTGGGCCTTGAGGCTGTGTCTCAAGAGCCGTGGGGCTGGGTATGGGTAAGCCCAACTCTACAGCACACTACAGCACATGCAACACAAGCCTGCCTTGGGAATATTTGCTTCTCCTGCTTTCTAGCTCCATGAGTGGCAGGTCTCTTGGCTTTGATGCCTGAGAGGGAGCCTGCCTTGGAGGCCTTCCCAGGACCAGTGTCTGCCTGGCTGATGCCCCTCCAGGTACACAACGGTCAGAGGAGTTGGAAAGCTGCAAGATGAATAAAATCCTACACCAGCTAAGCAAGCAGACTTGACACATACAGGACATTGTCCCACCTTCCCTGAGGCCACACTCATGTGATCTCTAATCAAAGTAGACCTTCCACAGTGGGTGACTGATAGTCTTCCTGTAGCCTAAGACCCTAAGTACACCTGACCTGGCCCTTCTCCTGCCCTCAGGGTTAGATTCTGGTAGAGATATTCACTCCATAATCTAGGAACTGCATACAAGCAACAAGGGCTCCATAAGCCCAAATTCCACCCATATGCCGGGGTCTGCTAAAGCCTCACAGTCTAGGGATGTCAACAGGGTGCTCAGTTCACAGCATTCATGCACCTCTGCCTGTATCCCATCTTCATGAAAGACTTTTGGTGCAGGGCAAGACGCATCACACTGCTCAGAACCCTGCCTGGCCCCTACTCCCCAAGTACAATGTCCAGTCTCATCCAGAGATCCAGACCCTAGCTACACTCCAAGTCTCCTCTATTTACCTTGACAAGAATCTGCCTGAGACAAAAAGAGGTTCTTCCAGGCTCTGGAGACCAACCAAGGTGTCTGGTCCCATGGAGTGCCTGACATCTACCATCTACCGATGTTTCCTCTAACCTGAAGACATCAGCCCTCTGACTCTGAGAAGCATGCTTGGGAATTTCCCCATTCTTTCCAGACCACACTTCTTATAAGATACCCTTCACATCACATGTCACCTACACACAGGCCCTGGAAGCAGCACAATTGGCCTGAGGGTTAGCTGGCTCCAACCACAATGACTGACTTCTTTTTTATCCCCCCCACCACTTTGAAACAGGGTCTCACTATGTAGCCCTGGTTGGCCTGGAACATGCTATGTAGACCAGGCTGGTATTGCTCTCACAGAGATCTATCTGCCGTTGCCTCCTAAGTGCTGAGATTGAAGATGTGCACCACCACACCCAGCTTTTCTTGGTTTATTTAACCGTCCATTTTCTCATTGGCAAATTGCAGACTATAACATTTACCTCAAAATATGATATGAGTGGCAATAGCCATTACAAGTTTTTATTTACTTGTTTCTTTAGTCTTGTTTTTTAAACAGCCATTTTTTTTCTCAATCTGTGTATGAATGTGTGTATACATGTATGTGCTTATGTGGAGGTCTGAGGACAACCTTGCATGTCAGTCCTCACCTCCCACCTTGTTAAGACAGCATCTCTTTCTGTTGTAGTCACTCTGGTGCATACAGCAGGCCAGTTGGTCTGTGAGTTTCTAGGGATTTTCTCCACCTTCATTCTTTCCAGAGGAACGCGGGGATCACAGATTTGTACTACCACACCAAACTTTACATGAATTCTGGGGATTCAAAGTCAGGTCCTCATGTTTGTATGCAAAGTACTTTACCCACTGAGCCATCTCCCCAGTCCAAAAGTCATGTGGTTTTTAAAATACCTGCTGTCAGGACTGGAGAGACGGCTCAGGGGTTAAGAGCACTGACTGCTCTTGCAGAGGACCTGGATTCGGTTCCCAGCACCCACATGACAACTAACAGCCATCTGTAACTCCAGTTCCAGAGCATCTAACACCCTCTTTTGGGCTCTGCAGGCATTGTACAACATGGATGCACTTACATACATGTGGGCAAAACACTCATATGTATAAAATAAAAATAAATAAACTAAAAAAAAATTAAGAACCCACTGTGAATGAGTTATCTTACACAATTGTCAGAGCAAGAGCATAAGTTGGGATGATTATTATCCCTGTTTCACAGATGGGGAAAGTAAGGCTCAGGGGAACCACATCACTTGTTCTAAGTCACAGAGTCAGTGAGGAAAGGACTCAGAATTCAAATCCCACCTCCCCTGGTCAAGAACGCAAGCTCTCCAACCCCTTCACTCATACCTGCTGCTGGGCTCCCTCTCTCCCTCACCACCTTCCTCCCACCAAAGTGATCCCTCTTATCCTTGGCTTCAGTTAGACCTGATCGACTAAGCACAAAAAGCATTAAATGTAAAATTCCAGATCTGAACAATTTATGTTTTTAATTTATGGCTGTCTGAGCAGCATGATGAAATGCTGAGGCATTCTTTGCTCAGTATACCCGTGTTGTGCTGCTACCTACCCGTCAGTCGTTCATAGCCATCCAGATTATCAGGTCTACTATCTCAGCATTACAGTCCTTTACACAAGGTTCAGTACCATCCTGGATGTTAGCCATCCATGGAAGATCTGAACATGTGTGGCCGTGTCCTGTACAAGGGCACAACCGCACTCTGGGACAGACCTGGATCCGAACACAAGGCATAGCTGAGAAAGGAGAGATACCATC